GAAGTTATTGCTATAGTATTTTAAGTCCTAGTTGGACTCAGAATTAGGCAGTTTTAAAAGTGTTCTCTGTATCTCTGTATGTATTGAAAACCATCAATTTAAAATATACTTCCACTGCAGAAACACGTCACCTCTCTTTTCAGTGCCTGTTCTTTTCAGCAAATTCTTTATCTAAACTGAGGATCAGACAAATGCTAAGAGCCAGATCCTACTTTAGCTAGTAGGTACCTAGCTGGATTTAGGAGCCTCAGTTCAATCCTATTTTACCCTGCCTGAGTCCTTGAAAAACTTAATGCCTCCCCCTCCTTGCTGTTTTTTGTGACTTTGTTTAAAGGCAAAGGTGATGATGTGTTAGAAAAACAGATGCATTAGTGGATTTTAGAGCCTTGCACAGGGTGGAATAGGACTTTACTTAAGCACTTAACAGGTAGAGTAGGATCTGGCCCCAAGTTAGTAATTGGTAGAACAGGAGAAATGTGACCTCTAACATTTTGCTGTATTAACATGAAAATACATAAGTTATAAAGTGCAAGGAAATACGGAGCATTCCTTCCCTTTTTTTTTCTTGCATAGACTATTGCACAGTGGCGGAAAGCTGGCTACCAAGATATGCCTGAATATGAAAACTTCAAGCATTTGCTGCAAGCCCCTCTGGATGATGCCCAGGAAATCTTGCAGACTCGGTTCCCAATGCCACGTTATATTAACACAGAGCATGGAGGCAGTCAGGTAAGGCAGAAATCGTCAGTGAGTGATTGGTATGCCTGAATAAAGGAAATTCCAGAGTCACGGCCTAGAGCTGCTTTTTTAATGGAAAGGCTGCATTGCAAAATGGCTACCCTCAGCCACTTTTCACAGCTGCGAGGGGCTGTGAAAAGTTTAACACTGGGCAGTGCTTTTCCTGCTTGCTCACTGAGAGAGAAGCTGACAGTCATTTTGCAACACAGTGCCTTCATGCTAGTCTGGAAAAGAAAATTGGCTTCCGTGCTTAAGACGTGCACCCCAATTTTGGTGAGCTTAATTTGGGGGGGAGAAAGGTGCACGTGGTATGTGGGTAAATGATTTGATTACGTATCAAGACATTGTCTTTCAGTACTCAGCCTGAGTCACAAATGGCCCTTCAGTTTCTTACCTGCAGCTCTTTGCAGAAAATGTTTCTTCTGCTGCAAGCATTGTATATATGTAAGGAAACACTATGAGACTCACCAGTCGTATTTTCCCGTGCTGGACTGCTTAGATATTAGCCAATGAGTTGGAGTATGTATAGGAAGTTGTCAAGGTTCTTTGGGTGAATCTG